GTGTGTTCAGCACTGTGCCTAGGAGGAAGGAAGACAGCTATGTAAGAAAGCTACAGGTTCTAAAGAAATGAATATGACAGTAATACAAGTGACACCAGGTTTTAACTACATAGGAATAACCAGAAACAAGAGAAGATGGTGAAAGACTTTTTATTGAAAGCTAAGAAGACTTTAACATGAATATATAAGAACTGACAATTGTCACATTTCCTCCCCTGGTCCATTCAGCCAATTTTCTCCGAAGATTATGTGGAAGAATCTTTTTTTTTTTTTTTTTAAGGCATAACAAGGTTGGGGGGAGGTTAATTGAACTTTGACATTCTCAATGATTCAGAAATCATACCCTCAAGGTATCATACTAGTCTTTAGTAAGAAATGATACCTACACGTTTTTTATGTTCAACCCACCAACTGAAGTTATTTAATGAATGGTTTTCCTTAATTAGTCCTTAAACATGTCTAAAGCTCAAAGACCTACATATTTCTGGAACTGAATCTTCGTAACACTATGAGGTACAGGTACAATCAAAGCCATTTTACAAATGGGGAAATCAGCACAGGGAAGTTAAGCGACATGCTGAAGGTTCACCACTGGTAAGAGCAGAGTTGGAATACCAACTCCAGACCTTTTAACCCCTGTACCCTGTTGCCTTCCCTAGAAACTTCTTCTTTTATCAGTATCACTCATAATTTTATACACCTCAATTATGTCCCAGTACTTTTCAGATCAAAAAGGTGAACTCTTTTTAGTCTGTCTTCTTGCGTCCTTCCCTGTGATCATTTTCATGTTCTGATCCCATTGTACTCTTTTTCCTAGAGAAGTGATCAGGTGGTTCATAATTTTGATAAAAAGAGTAAAACAGTTTACTGTTTCCAATATCCAACCAGATGATATTTCATGGCAGCAACTGTAACAGTTTACCATGACTCCCAGACCTTTAACCCAAGTTATAACCAAGAGTCTAGAACCTAACAAGTTTAGACTTGATTTTATAAAAAGCCAAGAAAAAGCTACTAAAGGATTCTATGAAAAAGAAAATAATATTTCAAAAATATCAACTGGCAAGTATTATGTAAGGAACCAAAAACTAGAAATGAAAAATTAAACCAGAAAGAAAATTATTGTTCAAATAGTGGCAATGAACTTTTTCAGAAACTATACCAATGGATCCAATACTTTATCACACCACACCCTTTTTAAAAATACACTTTGGATGATAATATATGAACTGCCACTACACTATCAGTAATCCTGACACCAGGCATAATTATATTGCTTAACTGGCAACCAGAGGCACGCCTTCCTATTAGAACTTGGCAGTTTCAAGAAGCAGCCAAAAAACAGTCTACCAAAATTTGAGGCTTTCTCGATGAGCTTAATTTCAGTCCAATTAATAAGTGTCAGCCACACCCTACGTTAACAGGCACGGATTTGTTTAAATTACTCTCCCTAGGGGCAGGCTAATTCAGGGGTTAGCATTATTAGAATCTGTGTGAACAACTGGGTGCAGGTGTTCACATTACCAACAGAAGAGTTAACTCTTAACCCATCTATTAGCAGATATAGCAAGTATTTTGTGAACTACTGTTTTTTTTTAAAGGGTGGGGTTTATATGGTGACACTAATATGTAAAGCAATGACAATGTAGATTGAAAAATAATTTGTCCTCCTTTACAATAAGCAGGTAACCACCAGCATTCATCACAAAAAGGTAAAGTCACAAGTCAAAGTAACTACTGTATCATAAATATCACATACTTGTATGTACATGCTACATGTATCCAACTGCCTCAGAATATAACCTCTCAGAGGGAAATCAAGACTGGGTGTTACAATCCTACATAGTAACTAACAGTTTATAGGTAGTCAATAAACAACAGACAATACTCCTTCCAGCCCTGAACATGTGTGGCACAAGTCTATTCAATTCATCCTTTCCATTTTATATAAACAAGTGAAGAACAAACCATACTGCAGTGTCTAAAAAAAATTTTTCATTTTAGAGAGTAATTATAACTATGCTGGTTTGTAACTTAAGACTTGTTTAGAAAGTTTGTTTCAAATTGATATTAGTTTTTCTACCATAAGATATTTGAGTTCTAGGGGGAGGAGGGGATGGGTATTTACATACATAGTGAGTGCAATGTGCACCGTCTAGGGGATGGACATGCTTGAAGCTCTGACTCGAGGGGGGAGGGGAGGCAAGGGCAATGTATGCAACCTTTACGTTTATACCCCTATAATATGCTGAAATCAAAAAAAAGTAAGAAAAAAAGATATTTGAGTTTGTATAAAAAAATTTAACATCAAAAAATTTACAACGCCTTCATGAAACTGTTAAGTGACCACAAAATAAAATGAGCACTCCGGCAATATGACTTTCTGAAATAACTTTTCCAGCTACCACAAGGAAAACAAGCAAACAAAAAGCTTTGCAATAACCAAAAGTTAGTTTGAACAAATACGTCATCCCAAAACCAAACAAACCATATCCCAAGAGAACTGCCATAGGGAGTGAAATTCAAAGTTTAAGATGCTCTACTGAGAATACACTAGTCGTCTATTCCTCAAGGAGTTCAATCCCAGACTCAGAATACTCTTGACAAATATAACTGCCTACAAGACATCAGCACATAGTTCAGAAGATTATGCAGATTGTCTGCTTAAAAAAAAACCAAAAAACAGAATGAGCTGTTAATGAAAGAATACTCGAAAATGAACAATTGTGAACAGCACTAAATATAAGCAATGAATTTGAGAGGAATAACCTATTTACCACAGTAACTTTCTTAGCACTGAATCAAATATTTAATATAGGGAAATAAAATGTAAGATAATCCCTTTATATGTTTAAAATACATTTTCTATTTTATCATTTGAGATTTCAGGATGAGTGGTCTCAAGATCAAGTGAAAAAATTTCTAATGCAACACCACTTTCATTTATTTTATTTTTACTTGAAGAGGTAAAACATATTTACTGAAACTATTCATGTATATATTTGAGCAACCATCAGGAATGTTCATATTTACATGCTACACCAGCAGCAATCATGTTCTTACATGTACGTATATACGTGTGTATATTTAACTTTTTAAGTCCATTTACGAGTATTCTTAATATATAAATATTATATTGTATGTGTATTGACTTATTTTCCCCAGGGAAATGTATTAAGCTACTTGATGACTGAAGACAGGAAATCCTTCATAACATTATTTCAATAGCTAAATGGCTCACAATTGGTTTCAACACCTATACCCCAAAAAATGCTTCAGTCAGTCTACAAACACAGTCCTCCAAGCCACTGAATGTAACAGGCTTATATTCTTTTCTATAAATGGGATTATAATAAAATTTAGTAAATTTGTCTATTAAAAAAATTTCACTGATATCAATAGCCACAGACACTTTCCTAAGCTTACTGGGTCATACAAACTAAAAACATGAAGAGCATGACTACAGGACTGCAAGATCAGTGAAAAAACATTAATCATTAAGGTGAAAAACCATTAATCATTTAAACCAGGATTTCCCAACCTCAGCACAGGTGACATTTTGGGCCAGATAATCCTTTGTCGTGAGAGCTTTCCTAGGTATTATCAGCTACCTACTAGATGCCAGTAGCACCCCCTCCCCAGGTGTGAGAACCAAAAACGTCTCCAGACTTTGCCAAATGTTCCCTGGGGAGCAAATGTTGCTCTATGAGTCTAGAAACTTAGCGCAGTGTTTCTGTTTCAGAAGAGTATGTTCTGCAACACCAAGGGAGTTCCAAGAAACTTCAGGCAATCCAAATGGCTACTTTATAAGAAAGTTTCATGGATCCCACAAAGTAACTGAAACCTTGTTACTGTAGATAGCTAATTCTTCCACATGTGCGCGATTAAACACTCTTGTGATGATGAATATGGGACAGGCTGGGACAGGAGCCAACAGTGACTGGGGTTTTACAGTTTCGATGAATTACACCTTCTTTTAACCCTTCAGTGGACTAATCATTTCTGCCAGAGTAACCCTTTGCTCACAAAAGACTTTCCCCTACGCCTTCGACATAAGGTGCCCTTCTGTGGGCCCTCACCTTTCAGACACTGCCTCTCACTACACTGGGGTCAACTGTCACCCGAGGGTTCAACCACCTTCCACTACCAGGCCAGTCAGTCCCTGCCACATACCCTCCAGCCCCTGCTCTCATCTTGGCATCCCCGGTCTGGGCTAGCTCTTGACCCTTGACCCCAACCTGACCCCGCCGCCCCCAGGGATGTACCTGAAGTAGTAGACATCGCTCTTGCCGGCACTGAGCCCAGATTTTCGGATCACTTCCTCCTTCTTCCATCCGGGGGGGAGGGCCGGGCAGTCCATCCTCTTCCCGCTCTCCGTGGCCCGGGGTCCCCTGGGCCCCAGCCCCGCGCTCCCCGACGGGAAAGGGACCGGCTCCCGCCGGGGGGCGCCGCCGGCACCGCTGCTGCCGCCGCAGCCGCCGCCGTCGCCGCCAAGGCCGCCGCCGCCACTCGGGACGGCCGCGGCCCGGCCCGGCCCGCCCGTCCCCGGCCACGGCCACGGCCCCGGCCACGGCCACAGACGCCGCCGCCCCGGCCCGCCTGCTTCCACCGCCCCCGGCCACGGCCGCCGCCCCGAGCGCCTTCCCTGCGCACGCCGCTCACCGGGGACGGGGCGAGCGCGCTGCCCTGGCCCCCCTGCTCTATGGCGGAGTCGCCGCCAGCGCCGCTGCCGCCCGCCGCGCTCTCCCCCTCCTCCTGCTCCGGGCAGCAGCGGCCTCCCCCCGGGTGCGCGCGCATCCAGCCCCCTCCCCAGCCGGCGCTGCGCTTCTTCCGTAACCGAGCCCTTGGAATCCCGGAGACCCGCCCCGCCCGCAGCGCGGCGCGCGGGGGACGCGCGCAAGCATCATAGAGCGGGCGCGCACAGAGCGGCCCTCCTGCCTGGGGCGTGGCCCCGGCCACCGCCTCTTAGGTCCTCCAAGCGCTCTGGGCGGCCATCTTGTCTCCGCCTCCTCGGGGACACGCCTCCTGCCGCGCCCTTCCGGCCCCCGCCCCCACGGGGCGCGCGGAGCCGGAAGGCTATCCGGGTCGAGCCACCAGTGAGTGACTGTAATAGTGACTGCGGTCGCTTTGTTTTAAATAGGGTTAACCTCCACCATTATGTGATTTCACCCTTGTTTGCTTTCTAATTAATGAACAACAGACAAAATAGATCTCAAATTTTATATTCTCTAACTCGACCATTCATAATAGATTAATAGATACCCTCTCCCACCTCTACACCAAGACTTGCCAGGGAGTTCAGATTGAAGGAATGAAGCAAAGTGTCCATTAGATAAATATAAGTGTTTTCCAGAAATATGGACTAATTCTCCTATATTAACTTTGTAAGGAATAGGAAAGGAAATGATAACTTGAATATTCCCTCCAGTTATGGAGTTTACTGCTCCTTAGAATGACGAAAATCCCTGAATCCAACTAATTTTCCAAATTACTTGGGATCTTTTCTTAATTGGACTTCATTTTATAATACAAAAATTAATGACCTTTGATTTGGTAAATATTCCCTCATGTTGAAAGACCGACTTAACCTCCTTTTAGAGGCCTTTAGGAATCTGTGTGGAATTCATTTTGGGTCTGCCAACTCATCATTTAGAAGTGATTTTAAAGGATAATAGCAAATCGATTAAGGAAACTGGTTTGAATTTTTGAGAAGCATGTTTTCTATGAGTTGTTTAACATTTGTAGAAGTATACTATTGAAATTCAAGATAGCGTATTATGAAATGTTTGGAAGACTGAAAAATATAAAGCACATTTTATCAGATTGATGATAAACTATCTTGAGTTCCTATACTTACAGGACCTAAAAGTTGAGGACAAGGTTTAGTGTATAGAAAAAAGCGATTAATAGAAGTTAATGAAAAATTAAAATTTTATTCAGTTTTCCTTTACAGTATATGCAAACATTAACTATACTCACAAAACTTGTCTGTCTCTAAGCTTGATCTTAGTTTTCTTTTAATGCCTTTGATTTGAAATATGCTAAGTTATGGCTTTCTACATGGAATCTACCTAGAAATGTGGATCTATTTAGAAATTCACCTAGATAAATGAGTTCTCAGGAGAGAGGTCAGTGTTGGAGATGTGCATTTAGAAGTCATTCGTGAAAATGACAGTTGAAGGAGACGCTGCAAGTAAATAAGATCTCCAAGGAAGAGTGTGCAGGGTTAATAATAATAATGATAACAGAAGATCAAGAACTGAATCCTAAGAGATACCAACACTTAAGGCTCCAGTTAAAGAATGAAAGTTAGAGAAAAATGAGATCAATGTTTGGATGACAAACACTCTACAAGAGGGAGTGCCCTGATTGTCATACCTAACTGAAATTAAAGGATAAACATGAACAAAAATCTGAGTAGAAATGGTAGTTGAGACAACAGATGGGAAAAGATACACTTTCAGAAAATTTTACCTTTCCATGTTGTATCTAACAAGACTATAGATCAGATGACATAATGGATATAAAAGCATAAAGGAATAAATTACATGATTTTAAGATCATTATTTTGACTTTTATAACCAGATTCCATTTACTAAATGCCAGTATAGTTTACTGTTTCCTCTGTTAAGAAAAGTCTCATTTAGGCATTTCAAAAGTGTTTTGGTTACATGTGAATTTCTCTGCTGTGATACCACAGAGCAAAGAAAAAAAAAAAAAAAAAAAAAAGCACTTACTTATTCTCTCACTAAAAGAGGAAAATATTCCAATTAAGGAAACAATAAATTCCCATGGGACCTAGATTGAGATCCTAAAAGTATTGAGAATAGATGCTAAATACCTAAGAGATAGGCCCTTTTGTTTCCCTTACTATACTGGACAAATAATAAACCTTTTATAATTCTAGGAAAGTGCATATTATATCACTCCTTGAAGAAGCATAGCAACATTTTGTTTTCCTTGGGTGATAAAGTTGTAACCAAATTTTTCAATTTTGTCTCTCATACAATGGAACAGGTCTTGTTAGTTTATCTTATGGAAAAAAACGAAAGACAAAAACAAGAGAGGATTATGTATGAAATCTGGTCCACTAAAGGAACAATAGAGATTTAACTGCCTCTGATCTCTGCCTCCCAGGTGTAAAGGCAGGTGCCAAAACACCAACTGTCACCATGGAAGACTATCCATTATTTCAAATACTTTTCCCTTTATTTTCACTAGGTAAAGCTGAGGGCAAGCCATTAAATAAAAGGCAGTTCTCACGAAAAATAGTGTTAATTTGGATTTTTATTATGAAAAATAGAAAAAATTCAGGTAATGAAACTTAAAAGAACTATTAGAAGGTAATGATTGATTGTGAAATCTACATATTTTATTGACAATATATAACCTTCATTTAAATGTTTGGGCATGATAAAATAATAAAAGAAGAATTTAAATATTAGAAAACCTTACTTTTTCAATGAGCATATTTGTATCAAGTGATTAACAGGGGCATCAGTTTCCCTCTCTTACAGTCCAAACAGTAAGGTCAAAATTTATTAAGACATTAAATAGGAATGAGGGCACAGCCAAAAAAACATTTTCTAGCTCTAATTAGCATGTTTTATGATTCACTGAGTTGGCCCAACTACTGTTCACCTAATTCCCAACTAAAATGAAATGCTGCTGGTGCAGCATGTCAGGAGGCCAAATGACACTTTCAAGTACATGTAATATAAAGTATTTTTTTTAATAACTGCCCACTTGGAATGACTACAGAGGAATCCTGCACTGCTTAGTTCAAACCAAAAAGAAAAGAGTTAATTACTTGAAAACAAGAGAAAACAAGATGGGATAAATTTTGAACGAAGAGAAATTAATTTAAGAAGTGTCTGGTATTTTAACAATTTCTGTTAGTTATTACATTAGTCATATGTAAATATTTAGGATTAAAGGATGGAGAGATTCTTATTTGATTTAACTCCCTATATAAGTAAAAACCACAATACTACTAGTAAAAACAAAACGATCTTTAGGTTTCAGAACCCCAGGATACACATAATATGCTAGACAGTGATTCTTCACCTTAATTCTGGCAGAATGCTAGGACACATGATCCATCAGAAATGAGGGCTGACTATGGCTGCTGTTCAGACATAGAGAACCAGTGGTAACTGAGTACATGAGAAAATACATCTTACCAAGAAAGATTTTGTACCGGTAAGTGGCTTTCCCAATGTCTCACACGTATTTCACAAGTGGCAGAGCTAAGACCAGAACCCAAGTCTCCAGGTTTAGAGCTTTGCCTGTTTGGCTGCTCTAAACTGCCCTACCTTCCTTGTTTTCTTCACCCTCACACTTGCTGCTACCTCAAATTGGAAAAAGCTTATCTGTTTCCAGCCACATTCTCACTCCAACACCTTTCCTTTGGCTAATTCTTACTTATCTCTTAGGTCTCACCTTAGACATCACTATATCCAGGAAGCCTTTTCCAACCCCCCCCCTTCCCCTTACTCCTGCACTTCCCCCAAAGGTTGTATATGCTGTGCCCCACTACCACATGGCCATTCTTTGTGGGTTTTTTTGTTTTGTTTTGTTTTTTGTTTTTTGAGACTGCGTCTTGCTTTGTTGCCCAGGCTAGAGTGAGTGCCATGGTGTCAGCCTAGCTCACTGCAACCTCAAACTCCTGGGCTCAAGCAATCCTGCTGCCTCAGCCTCCCGAGTAGCTGGGACTACAGGCATGCACCACCATGCCTGGCTAATTTTTTGCATATATATTTTTAGTTGGTCAATTAATTTCTTTCTATTTATAGTAGAGATGGGGTCTCGCTCATGCTCAGGCTGGTTTCGAACTCCTGACCTGGAGCAATTCGCCCGCCTCGGTGAGCCACCACGACTGGCCACAAGGCCATTCTTTGTATTCACCATTGCATCCCCCATGCCTGTTACTAGATCTGCCTGGCACATGGGAAGGGTTCATTAGATACCTTATGAATAAATTGGATTAATACATCTTGTGAAAACTGTGTACTCTCAAAATAATGAGCAGCACAGTTTCTTCTCAATGAAAGTACATAATCACATAAGAGTGTCAACAGCTCTTATAGCTTTAGAAAATCTGAAAACATTTCCATGCCCCAAGAGACATTTAACAATAAATTTGACTCAATCTTAACTAAAAATGAGGCTTAAATTCATTTTACAAACACATTTGATTATAAGACAGTTATAATGTTGATCTTTAGTCTTTTCTACAACAACTTTAACTTGAACTGTTCCTCAAAAATGTTGTAGAATATATATCATAAAAGACAATCACAAAATAAGATTCTACTTCTAAACAACTGTTCCTGAATTTAAATATCTGTATTTGTGCTTCTGTTCATTTGACTCCTCCTAATATTCTCTAAAATTGCATATACACACATGTATTTCAATGTCATTTGTTTATTTTGGAATCATCTACGAAGTTCTCAGAGTGTTTTCTTTTTGGCTTTGCTAATTTCAAATTTATCCCTAATCTGTGCTACTTTTTAGCATAGTTTAAAAAACTAATAGGGTGCTTATGAGGTGGCTTCATGATCCTGTTCTAAAACACCTTCAGACTTTATTTTTCAACCCCTAACCTCCCTCAAGACACCCCAACAAGTTAATCACAGTTGTACATTTGAACACAATTGTGTGTAATTGCTTATCGCCAGGCATCTGTTACTATTGTTACATATTATGCATAGTTTGAAGTCTATCCTCTGGGGTAGTGGATGGGAACAACATTGATCCAGCAATGTTCTCTGTTACCATCTGTGGCAGACACATTGGTTGGCATAACCTAACACCCATTACCAACCTGAGTCTCCCTTGCCCACCTCCACTCTGGAGAATAGAAAATATAAATACTCACTCTCTCAGTCTAGTTTAGGTGAAAACAGGAGAGAGGTTAGAGTGGCTATGGTAAAGTGTTTACTTCTTTATTTAAAAAAAAAAAAACATGATTGGCACTCCCCTCTCCCTTTGTTCCTCCTAGAACATGGATATGATTTCTGCAGCTGTGGCAGCCATCTTGCAACTATGAAGCAAAGAACACAAAGATAAAAGGCAAGCACCCTAAAAATAGCAGAGCCAGAAGATGGAGAGCCTAAATAACATTATTGAGCAGTTGAAGTAAATCTTGCAACTATTTATCTCCAGACTTCTTATTATATGAAAAACTAGACCATTTTTGGTTAAACCACTGTTGGGTTTTTGTATACCCACAGGAGAATACATTCTTTGCTGAAATACAATTTCTTCCCTCAATGAATTGTATAAATCTTTTTTTTTTTTTTTTTTTTTTTTTTGAGACAAGAGTCTCACTGTGTTGCCTAGGCTAGAGTGCCATGGCGTCCGGCCTAGCTCACAGCAACCTCAAACTCCTGGGCTCAAGCAATACTCCTGCCTCAGCCTCCCAAGTAGCTGGGACTACAGGCACGTGCCACTGCACCCAGCTAATTTTTTCTATTTTTAGTTGTTTGGCTAATTTCTTTCTATTTATAGTAGAGACAGGGTCTGGCTCTTGCTCAGGCTGATCTCAAACTCCTGAGCTCAAGCAATCCTCCTGCCTCAGCCTCCCAAAGTGCTAGGATTACAGGCATGAGCCACAGCGCCTGGCCTGTAAAAGTCTTACTGGAATGCAGACAGCTTCCAAAATTGAGACCCCTGTGTAAGAGGTTGGAAAGAGTAAAGGAGGAAGCCAGAGAGAAGTGGAAAGAGAGAGAACAAGGAAGAGTGGTTGGTAGGCTTTCCCTCTAGTAGTAGCAGACCAAGAGAGGTCTTCCTTTCACATCCTGATGGAAGGAAAAAAGCATTCCAAGAAAACACCTCTTCTTGGGCTCTATCTAATATCCTTGCTTGGTACTATAAAAGCTCCAGTGCCAGAGAATATGGTCCAGTAAATTGTCTTTGAACTTGATCATTTCATAGCAACTGTCCTCTTCTCTGCATAGAGTAACAGGTATGGGGAAGGAGAACTTGGATAAGTGTTTCCACAATGAAGATCCACAGATGTCCTCAGTTTGACAATTCTCTACCACAAAATTCTAACATGAAAGTTTCATTTCGATAATAGTGCTTTTATTTTTTTAAAAATCCCTACCATAAGCATATAATGGACTATCTGCATAACCACCTGGTATCTGAGTCATGCCACCTTATTTTACTGCCCAAGCTTGAACTAGTTGGTGACAAGTAGTGCTACTTTGAATGATATTGACTAATCATAAAGGGGCAGATACTAACATTATATGCAAATAATGAGGTTGTACCAGATGAAGACCAAATTACTTCAGCACACATTGAATGAAAGCTTTGCAGTTGTTCAATTGGAGAACAGTGGTGGGAAAACTTAGTCACTGGAAGAACACGGTAGTATCCATAGATCAAAACCCAAATTATCTGACTAGTGTCTATTTGTATCATATTCACTTTGGGATCAATAATTTTGTTTCTGGGAGGGAAATTATCCACAATATAAATTGATTTAATTTGACTACTATTAATATTTATTTAATAATTTTAGTTATATTTAACAGATGTACTAGGACGTCTAACATCTGACCAATAAGAGTTTCAGAAATGAAGAACAGCTGTATTTAGCTTATAAATTTGTTCAGTTTTTATAATTACATAAAAGTCATAAAAATAATGAGGTTAAAACTAGCTTGTGATTTCACATATTTAGGTAACATCAGAATAATAACTTAACTCACTAGGAGATGGGGGTATCAATAATTTTTTTTTATAAAAGGAATATGTATCCTTTTCAAGTCTGAGAAACAGTGCCCTAATTCACATTCTCACAATCAAATCCTTTCTTTCTATGCAATGATATTTCTGAGAAATTAGTACTTGTCTCAAGTGACCCCCTACATCTTAAGACTCCTTCTTTCCTTGGCTTATGAGACAGCGTATTGTTCTGATTCTCCTTCTGTCTCTCTATTACTTCCCAGTTCTCTGTTTTCTTTGCTAATTCCTCAAATCATGGTGTTCTTCCAGGTTCCGTCTTTAGGTGCCTTGTCTTACAAACTCTTCCTCAGCAATGTCACCTACTCACCAGATTTAGTCACAGGAACTGACTCCTGCCCACTGATGACAATGTGGTGAGCACTGGTGAGATCATCCTAAATATGCTACAGATACCCTAGAGCAGTTTCCAGATGAAAAAGAGAATCACACTCAATGGATACTGCTGATGTCTTGAGGAAGATTCAAAATTAATACTTCTCTATGTCTCCTGAGTAGTGAATCTCATTAAGAAATAAGGAAAGGAATAAGAAAAAATGATATCCAAAACAACTTCTTTATCATTGAGAAAGGCTCAGAGGATGTAACACAGTGTAGGAGCTGAATGAACTTGCCATTGAACTCCAAAATTTAATAGACTGGCCTACCTGGTTATGACTAGGCTGTCTGTAGCCTCTCTCTCCACCTCTGGGGCCTGGCCTTTTACTCTTAGACTTGGTAACATGGCCAAGGACAACCAAGAACAAATGGGCTAGGCAGGCAGGAAAATGCCAAAAAGGAAGAGAAGAGAGGAAGGAGCTGAGCTACAAAGATTCTGTTCTTTCCCAAAGTTGCCATTCACTCTGTCTCTTCAGGGGACTGGGGCAAGAGGTCAGGAATGTGAAGAAGAAAGGAAAAAAAAAAAAACTCTGTTTAAAAAGAAGAGTGGAAAGGCGACATTCCCTTCTAACAGTAGTATCATTTTTGAGTGCTAAAAAATTGTTCCTTTAGATGTTCTGCTTCAAAATTATATGTTAAAAGTTTGGTTTTTGTTTTGTTTTCTGAGAAGTGTGAAAAATATTCTGATAGGTTAACACTAAACTTCGAATAACCAGATGGTAAGATTTGAAGGGTCCTCTTCCAATAAGATAGAAGGACAAGGTATTGCTATAATATTTCAGTAAAGTAAAGCAAGTTTTGATATTTTACTGAGGTGTATAATGCAAGGGTGGGGGAACACATGGAAAGTAAAAATGTGATTTAAAAGAAATATGATTGTATTGGTGCCTAGTTTTTGACAAACCTTGCTTTATCAGGATAAGGAAATAATCTCTGAACATATTTTGAAATGTGAGCCTCTTGTGACTATCATGAGAATATGTAAGTTTTATTTTCCAAAGAAATATTATTTTAGAATATATGCTATTTTATCTTTCAAGATACACCTGAATTGGAGAGGTATAGGGTTGTAGGTGGAACTTTTTGCAGGTCTCCTTGCTGAGATCACTGGATTGTAGAAATCAGAGAGATAAATCAAAATGTCAAACTTTAACATTTCTTTTACTCCTTCATACTTTGCTGTTGGTTTTGTCTTTGTAACCAGAGGGCAGATCATGCTATATATCATTTTCACCCCCATAGAGGTAGCACAATGCTCAGGCTACTCGCCTTTCTTCCTTGAGTTAATATTATGATACCATGACTAGATTCCTCAGCACAACAGCCTGTCTTTGACTCACTTTCACATGTTTTCTCTCACTATCATTTTGATCAGACCACCCCATTCTCAGGTTCTTACTGTGCCTTCTCCCTCGATCTTAAACAGATAAAATCCTTCAGCTGATCGGATTTCAAATGCTTCACCAGGTTGGCCTGAGTTTGTTGGTTTCCTCCTATCCTGTTTCTTCCACTCTTTATATAAGATAGATTTTTCTCAGATGACACTATTTAACTCTTTAGGACTTATCCCCAAGGACTTATCTTTTTTCTGGGTACGTAAATGTCCTGTTTTCTGTGTTTTATTCCATTTCTTTATTCCTTCAAGACATTCTTAAGATCTTTCCTGCCCATGTACACAGAGCTTCCAAGCAGCTTTCTTGTGTTTTACTCTTTAATATGGGCAGCCCAGGATCTGCAGACATTTGAGGAAAGGCTTTAACATGAAAAAACAGAGCAAAAAAAGAGTGGAAAACATAACTCTGAAAGAAACGGAGACAATAAAAGGAATTGAAGAAACTTTTAAAAAATATGGTTGATATAATATTATTCAGAGACTAAGATCCTCAGATGTTTCAGGAAAAACAAGACAGTATCAAAAAGGAACAATCAGAGAATAAGAAAGTTCTTAGAAATGTAATTATGATAGCAGATTTTTAAAAAAATCAATAGAAGTATTAGAAAATTAAGACAATCTCCCAGAAAAAAAGATATTAAAAAATAACAATATCAAACTAGGAGGTCTAACATCTGACTCATAAGAGTTTCAGAAACAAAGAACAGACAGGGCCGGAAACAATGGCTCACACCTGTAATCCCAGCCCTCTGGGAGGCCAGCATGGGAGGGTCACTTGAGCCCACTGGTTTGAGACCAGCCTGGACAAAATAGCAAGACCTCATCTCTACAAAAATTTTGAAAATTAGCCAGCATGGCGGTGCATGCTTATAGATCCAGCTATTTTGAAGGCTGAGGCAGGAGGATCACTTGAAGTTCAGGAGTTCGAGGCTATAGTGAGCTGTGATTGCACCACTGCACTCCAGCCTGGCTGACAGCAAGACCCCATCTGAAAAACAATTTGGTACCCTCTTTATTGTTGGATATTATTACATTCGATACCTGTGGTAGATATTATTAAACACGTGAGCAATAGGTTTGGTGCAGGGGCTACTGAAAGCCTCACTGGAATTGAAGAATGGAAGTTTTTTGTGTGTTTTATCTTGTTTTTATGGGTTATCCTTCTAGGGAGAAAATGTCAACTGAAATGGAATACTTTAATGTATCAATAAATGAAACAAGATACTGGTAGAAATCTATGAAGACATTATATAATAGGTCCTTGAATAACATCATTTTATTCAATGTCATTTCATTTTAATGTTGATGAGGAAAATAAATCAGTTCCCTGCAGGGGCCATTATTTGTGTGGATTTGGCATGTTCTCCCCATGTCTGTGTGTGTTTTCTCCGGGTTCTCCGGTTTCCTCCCTCATCCCATAGATGCGCACATTAGGTTTATTGGTGCGGCTACAAGATCCCAGTCTGAGTGAGTGTGGCGGGGTGTGTGAGTGCGCCCTGCAAGGGAAGGCATCCTGTCTGGGTGTGTCCCTGCCTTGTGCCCTGAGAGCCAGAATAGGCTCTGGCCACCCTTAACCCTGAACTGGAATCAGTGAGTAAATAATGGCTTTACTTGTTTTTATTAATCTTTCTT